AGCCCGGATCGCCGCAGGTCAACGGACACAATCTCTTTTGGAACAACAACGGATCCAAGAACCGAGACACGCGTTTCCACAAGTGTCAAACGGCAGTACGGGAGTGGTCCAAAAACGATGAGTTTTGGTGAACCACCCGCGAGGGTCATTCCTCCCCAGCCAACACGAACAAATTTCGAACGAAAGGCGCGTATTGCGTGTTCTGGTTTCGGCCTACTCCAAGTCCAAGTGGGATCGTGGACGGTGGTCTGGATATACGGAATGGCATGGTACGAGGACCATCGGGGAGGGTGAGAGAGATAACACATTTCCAGAGAGACGACAGGAGTGTGCAGGGACACGAGCGAGTGCAACAAGTCGTCCGCCAGCACGCGCGCACCTTCCTGTTGTTCAAAACCGCTAGGTTAACCAGCGATTCCGCCGCGTCCACATGGTACTCGCCCAGCACCTTCTCTCGGAGAGAAAGGACCTTCCGAAGCAGGGGCTCCGCCTGTCAGGAGTGTAGCGGAAGTAGCGATACCCAACAACAGCAAGCGATCCAGAGGGGGGGAGGGGGGGGGGGGGGGGGAGGGGGGCGAAATTCGGGGGCCGCAGAGAAGGTGAGAGACAAAGGGCGCCATGGTCGGATTTTTCGTTGTTGAGGTCACGCTCACGGTACGGCTGTTGTTGTGGCGGACGTCGGTAGTAGCGTTGTCGTGGGTGCTGGCATGCTTTGGTTTTCTTCTGGTGTAACTTTTATTTTTACCTTGGCGGTATGCAGGTGGTGTTGTGGCAAGACGTGCGGGTACATGGCCCGAGCATGTGCTGTGTGCTGGCGGTGATCACCCCTTCTGATATCTGCTGTCTGATGTGTGCATGTTTTCTTTCGGGGCGCGCTCGTTGCAAGTATCCTTCTGTTCGGCCGTTTCGCAACCGGGAACTCTTCACACGTCTACGGGTTATTCTTCCATGAAAGCATTGCTGCCATCCTCGTTGCGGGTAGATTTTGCGGCGTCCAAAAAGAAAGCTGTTCGAACAGCAGTGAAGTTGTGTTTGATGTGCTTTTGCTGTTGTTTCCCCTTTCATGAAGCAGCTGCGGAAAAGCGTAAGCGACGGAGAGGTTGGAGAAGACGCCCTCGAGGACCTCATCAGCATGCTCGCTGAACGATTTCCGTCTGTTGTAGGTGAGAAAATCACAGAAACTTAAAAGCATGTTCCAAGATCAAAGTTAGAAACGCACTGCTGTTGTAGGTGCAGACCAGAACAAATGCTTGACTCAAACTTGTAGAATACTGGCTCCACCATGCTGTATCCGTTCAGATAGGGTGTCCGTGTCATGGTACACAAGCACGATCACTCATCACCGTCACCGGTATTGTACCTCCCCCCCCCCGTACGATCCGCCAGGACCCTTGATCTACGAGCGAGATCTTTACCTGGCGTGGACCCTAAAGCGGAGCCGGGCGGTGTGCGGTCAACGGAGGGTAGTCGGCGTCGTGGGGAGGGGGCATCTCGCTGGTGTCATGCGAGCGGTGGAGACGGACAGGGGGGGAGACACCCTGGTAAGAGCGGGAGACAAAGATCGTTTTCTAGCTGCAAGCGTTGTATCTTCATTTTAGCATACTTCGATCTAGTTTTTCGGCGCATGTGAGCCACGGGGTGTGCGCATTTAGGTGTGGCTGAAAGATCGACAGGGTGTGCATAAAAAACGTGGTATTTAAAAAATACAAAAAATGTGCCTGTTGTACGGTGTGGCTTAGCGTGTTCGCAACCTCCGTTTTCATCACGAGAACGCGTCAATGGACACATGCGATTGGCTCGTCCAAACTGGGGTAGCATCCTGGCTGGATGATCGCCATCCGGTCTTTGTCTCACTGTTGTGGTCCATGCTCCGAAACACCATTGGAAAGGAGGGAATGGAGGTTGTCAAGCGCTTTCTTCGGGAACCGTTCGAGTGCCATGCTGATCGAATCTACCGCGTATGTAGAAGTGAAGCGCTGGACATGAGACTTTGATGAGTCGCGGCGTGTTGTTTCCGGGGCAGCGATCCAAAACACTTATCCCAGCGCGACAGACAAACCGTCCGACTACCATGTACCTAGCATTCCTCTGCCGAGCGTGATGCTACGTAAATGTGTGGCAGGTCTTCAAGACACTGACCGGAAAGCAGGGAGGGGAAGCAGCAGCAAAAGGAGGAGGAGGAGGGGGACTTGAATGGCCGTACTCTTCGAGTCCCAGCAAGCTCGAGAAGGGCGCCAAGTTTGCGGCGAGACTAGGGCTCGAAACTGCCGCGGGTTACGCGCTGTGGGAGCTCTACAAGGCGGTGACAACTTCCTCTGCCACGTGAATTTTGTCTCCAGCGGCGGTTTTCTTCAGGGCGGTGTGAAGCGCCTCACGCGGGTGGGGAGGGCGCACCTCTTCCTTCGTAGGTTGACGCTCCCTTTTGCCGATTTAGCCCGGGGGTAGCCCCGGCCTCAACCTTCACGCCTTGGGCGCACTCTTTTTGCCGACTGCGTGCGGATGAACACACCGAGAGTTGTGAGCTTGGGATTCTAGATCGCTGACAGATTTCTTACGTTTGATTGGTCAAGGAACCTGGGTGTCCGCCGCAACCGAGCTTCTGTGAGGCAGTAATTGTATGCATACAGCACAAGTATATTTCGAGCAGCGGACACAGCAGTAGTCGGACGAGACTTAAAACGCTTTCTTCCTTCCGGGTGATCCTCTGCATAGGTACCGTAGGTGACGTGCCATACCACACCCCCCTGGACCCATTTTCAAAGCTCGATTACTCCACGACGAAGAGGAAGCATAAATCAAACGATACGTTTTCGCAAAGCGCTCGACGCAACGGTTTCAAAGCCAACGTTTTCGGCATCGCCACTCTTTCCGCTGTGGTGTAGTCGAGCATTGGAAATTGATCCAGGGGGTGTGGTATCTTGTGTCATGTCACCTACGGTAGCATAAACACAGGGCGCTATCTAAGAACATCATCGTCATACGTTGTGGGATGCGCTTTGAAATGTCAATCGAATCACCCGTGAACCGGCATCCAAGGACCTTGTGTCGGTACGGCTTTGTTCCTCACCGGAATTATTTGTGGCCAATCAGAAACTGCGTGCCTCACATCTCCTTCTCCAGTGCATCGTTGGGCAAGGTAAAGGTTTCTGCAACAAAACAACCTCGTCCCCCCCCCCCTCCTCCCCCTGCTTGAGCTATCTTCTGCTGCTTTCCAGGAAACAAAACCAACCTCCCCGGGCCCAGCTGATGATAAAATCTCTGATTGAAAACGTCTCTGCTTTTCGTCGAAAGTTCCTTGCCGTTCGCCCTGCCGCTCGCGGTGTTCGGACGCGAGGACCCCAACCAACTACCGTAACCTGCTGGCAATAATTACTTGTCCAGAGAACAGACGACAGAGTAAAAGTACTGCCGCGCCACCTCCTCCGGCTCTCTGCCAATGCTCATCGCTTCGCCTCTCCTCCTTCTGCTTCCGCTTCCGCCTTGGCGTCTTCCCCCCCGGCGACTTGCTCTGCGTCGTCGCCGCCACCCGGGGACGAAACATCACCATCCCCCCCTGCTGTAGCTGCCTCCTCCTTCGCTCTGTCCTCTTCTACCTTCTCCATGGGTACAAGCAAGGAACAAAAAGACGCCGTGCGTTGCTTTTGAGCGGATTTCTGACTTATTTCTTGTGCGTGTCACTTTTCTTCTTCCCTCTACATACCATGAAAGGAGACGAAAGAGAAGATAACGTGTTGTACGGAACATACCATATTGACTTCGGGAGAAGTGGGACGAAGACTATATAGACTATTGGGTTACCCGAGAAGACCCACAAAGAAAACAAACACGCACACAACTTATCTTGCAGGCGAAGTTAATGTCAAAACATTGTGGGCGATGAACGTTCTTACATTTTGGGACGAAAAACTTACGACTACCGGTTCCAGTGCGTGGCGTAGGACGTACGAGGAGGCGCTTTCGACTGTCTCAGGAGTCAAGCTGATTCCACCTGGGTCATACAAATCTTAGCATCCCGACGGAGCCAGCCCACCGTGAAGCGATCACGGCCTTCGCACAACAGCCACAACGCTCAGATTTGGTGGCGACGGAAGCAAAGCTCGATTGCACAAGAAAAGGGGAGGCTCCCGGTGACATGAGCACTCAAGGTAGGTACAGCGGGGGGGGCGGCCCGTTTAGTGCCGATATGTGCCGAGAGAATTGACCGACACAATACCGGCACTCTTTTAAACGACTCGGTGATTCAGTCTGTGCCTAGCCGGCACAATACCCGGCACCAGCACTGTCCGACCGGCACAACACAGGGCCCCCCACTGGCAACTACCAACAGGTTGAGCTCCCACCTTCTGCGCTTCCAGTGCCGCGGCGGCCTCCTCCTCTGCCTTCTCCTTCAGCCTCGCCTCCTCCGCCGCTGCCGCTGCCGCCGCCGCCTCTTCCTGGGCCTTGCGCTCTTCCTCCTCCTTGTCTAGCCTCGCCTTTTCTTCTTCCTCCGCCTTTACCCTGGCCGCCTCCTCCTCCTCCGCCTTTACCCTGGCTTCTTCCTTGGCCCTCATCTCCCCCTCGAACTTGGCGATCAGGGTGTGCGAACGAGCGTTGAGAGACTGCTGCCGGTGCTCAGCCTCCGACACGGCTCGGGTGAAGGCTGCCGGGAGCAAGAGGAGGGGTCACAACATACCGGCGGGGGGGTTGTCATCGTCGTCCCATGCCATCCGTTCGTATTGCCGCCGCAGGGGTTTGTCAAGGGAAAAGAGGCGGCAGATAGAGAAGATGCGTATGTCTGCAAAACACTGCAGGCACGGTGAAGGCGGTATGGAGGGTACGAGAGTAAAAGGGGGACCGCAGATCCCCGCGCCATACCCCCCCCCTACCCCTGTAGCGATCGCCCCGTCCGCAGGTAAGACTGAGTCATTGGCTTGTTTTCGTAGTGAGGATGCGAACCACACCAGATATCTGTGGTAACCAGGAGGGAACGTATCGCATCCCTCGTGAAAGATCAGGTCGCTGGGATGTGGGAAGACAAAACCCCAGCCAATAACACGTCTCCGAGAACAAAAGTGGAACTCCATGTTGGACGCGTTGTGACTCGCGCATTCCCTACGTATGGCAAGCTGCACCGCGCGCGCGTTGTGTAGTCTTGTCGATGCATCTAATTGTTCTGCCGGCAGTGAGCTTGAGATACAGCCAGCTGTGGCCGCCTGCGAGCGGCGACACCAAGCTCTGTGTGCCATCAAAGACCAACCTGCGGAGTAGCATGTTTCGAAGGAGGACAGTCTCGTCCCAAACATGCTACTTTGAAGGCTGGACATGGGCAGCAAAGACCTTGGTGTCGCCGCCCGCAGGCGGCCACAGTTGGCTGTCGCATACCCTTCCTTGCCACAATATACGTGAGATACTCGCGCGTGCAGATGAGACGGGTATCAACATCGCTGTATTAGCCACGAGCGGGAGTATCTCACGCATACCGCCTGCAAGCGGCGACACCAAAGCCTGTGCCGTCAAAAACCAGCCCGCTAGGTAGCATGTTTCGAACCAGGCTGCCTTGTCCGAAACATGCCACTTAGAAGGCTGGGCTTGAAACCGCACAGACCTCCGTGTCGCCGCCCGCAGGCGGCCACAGTCAGCTGTACCGCATACGCTTCCTTTGCCACGGAATACGCGAGATCTGCGCGCGCCCGCGACCCATACGGCGATGACAACACATGCGTCCACAGTCAGCGAGGTTTGTTACGCTTGCCTGAGTGCGTGGTCCTCGCAGCTCTCTTCGTGTTTGTTCTTACACAAAGGGGGAGTGTCTTGCCACAAAACCAACCTCGGCGAGCATGTGCAGATCGGCCCCAAGTTGACCGCGGCAGAGCTGCATATCGCAGCTAGTCGCAACGGTGATTTGTGTTCTGTAATACACAATCGGTACGGGGACAGTATGCCGCATATGCTCCGATGCCCCCAAAAAGCCCACTCACTTTCCGAGTCTCCGGCGATGTAGAGCTGGCTCAAGAGATAGTTGAAGCGATGAGCGCTGACTACACCTTCTCCGTCTAGCCCGTATTTGGCGGCCTCCCCCAGGACATCCACTGCCATCTGGGGAGACCCCGCCTTGCAGCAAGCCTGTCGAACGGAGGCCGGGAAGTAGAGGGTGGGCAGCGACGATAGCCAGTGGTCCCAAGATCAAAACGCGGTTGACCCAAAGAGGTGGGATATTTCGCCCGCAAACAATTGTTCACCAAAACTACAGGAGGGTGGGGGGGTTGTAGTCATGTTTTTCATGCCCTACATAGTTGTTTAGATCCTTGACCACGCGTCCTCCAGGTTGTTCGAGGAGGAGGCTTTCCAAGAGGCGAATATCATAACATCAACCCACCCGTTCGTTCGTACGGTAAACTGGACAGCTTATCCTTGAGCCAAGAAGCCCGGAAACGGTTTAGCCCTCCCCACGACGACCAGCACATCTCAACATGTGTACTCAGTGCCGGATGGCAAAGATCTCTCCACCTTTCTACGTAGTGTACATACGTGCAACATGGTAGATCACCTTGACGAAGAGAGTGGCGGTCTTTTTTTCGATGTCGATGCCCTGCGTCTTGAAGATCTTGAGCCCCAGGCACGCGTACTTGAGATCTTCCTCGGACGTCACTCGCTCAAGGATGCGGTTCAAAACGCTCGCCTTCACCTTTGTCGTCACGAGCCGGGGACAGAAACAAGAGAAGTTACGTTCCAGCCGCAGCAGAGCATGAACGAGGCAACACCGATTTCTGTAGCGCCCGTCGTCTATACGTGTAGCGCGCGTCGTCTATACGTGCGATGTCGCATCAGCCACTTTCGGACGTGGACTGCCTCGACCCCAAGGATAGTTTTGTGCTTAACGCAAGATGAGCGACATAGCAATGATGCAAGCTGGCGACCTACATGGATGAGTTTTTACTTATGCGCTGATAGACGATTGGCAACACTATCAACAAGCCATGACACAAAGCGGGCTAAAAACGTATCCAGCCGGTTTTTCCTCCCACTCAAGCTTTCAACCCATTCCCTTTAACAAGCCATGACACAAAGCGGGCTAAAAACGTATCCAGCCGGTTTTTTCTCCCACTCAAGCCTTCAACCCATTCCCTTCGACTGTGGTTACATATCTCGTACGGGTAGTCTTTCTGTGATTGGATGTAGATTTCCTAAAAAATGAGCCACAACGCTCTTTCCGTTCTGTATGCCGTCGCCGACGACGAAGAGGATACCAGTGCGCCTGCCATCCGCGCCCCCCCCCCCCCCCCCGCGGAAAAAAAAAAAAATTTAAAAAAAAACCCCCCCCAAAAAGGTTGGCGAGCCCGGCAACCCCCAGGGGAAAAATTGCTATATATGCCGGGCGGGGAAACCGAAAAAAAAAAGGTGGGCCGCCCCCCACGCTTCCAAACCCATGGCCCGCCAACCCCGGGGTGGGGCCCGCCCGGACCGAAAATATACCACTGTACCACCA